CATTGGATCCAGATGGCTCTGGAGGAGAAAGTGAGGCTGGTGACTGCACAGCCTTCCCTCACTTCAATCCAATTGACTTGCAAGTCATGACATCATCTTCCTTATGTCAAGGTCTTCTTCTAGAAAGAAGGACAAACCACATACACAGTGATGTATTCTGAGTGCATATTGAAGCATACTTTTATTCACTTTATTTTTATTGTTTTATTTAGTTAGGGTTTTCTTTTGCAACCTGGCTAATAAGGAAGTGTGTTTTGTGTGATGTCACATGTATAATCAATATCAAATTGCTTTCAGAGGAAGAGAGGAGAGGCAGGAGGGAGAGAAAGAATTTGGAATTCACAGTTTAAAAAAATTATTAAAATTTTACCTGTAATTGGAAAATATCTAATGAAATAAATAAAAATTATTTAAGAAAAAAAGCTCTACTGTCTCCCTTTCTATCCAGAATCAAATACAAAGTCTTCTCTTTGGTGTATAAAGCCGTCCCTAAGCTGGCCTCCTAGTTTTCTAGTCTTCCTACACCTTACGCTGTCCATATGGCTCCCCTCCCCATCCCCCTTTCTGTCCAGTGACCCTGGTGTCCTTGTTCTTCTGTCTAACTCTGGTCATTTTCTCTGCATGTCTCCCACGCCTGGAATTCTCTGGCTCCTCATCTCTGCCTCCTGGTTTCCCCAGTTTTCTTCGGGTCCCTGCCAGAACTCTACCTTCTACAAGAAGCCTTCCTGACCCACCTTGTCTCTCATGGCTTTGCTCTGAGATTCTCTCCCAGCTGCCCTCTCTGTGCCGTTTGTACAGATCTGTTTCACGTTACCCCCCCACCACAGAGCAGGGACATCCCCCCTTTCTTTGTGTCCTCAGCACTTGGTACAGTGCCTGGCACACAGTAAGGAGCTGCTGACTTCCCGTCTAAACTCCTCATTGCACAGAGTAATAACGACGACGACAATTTGGCATTGGTATAGTAACTTAGGGTTTGTAGAGCACGGTCCGTGTCTCATGTGATCCTATAACCGCCCTGGTAAATAGGTGCCATTACTGTCCCCATTTTACAAATGAGGAACCTGAGTCTGTGAGAGGTTAAGAGATGTGCCCAGGCTCATGAAGTTAGTAAGAAATGTGAGGCAGGGTTTGAACTCGGGTCTTTCTGATACCAAGTACAATGTACTTCCTGATAAGTAATTGAGACACAGTGTAAGTGGCTTGCTTGGGGTAAATGTCCAAACAAGTGCCCAAGGTAGAATTTAACCCTGCTCTCCCCGAATCCAGGTCCAGCAGCCTAGCCACTCCCCATATTAAGAAGTATATTGTTCATGAGTTTTCAACCTTTTTGGTGTCCTAGACCCCTTTTGGCAGTCCAGTGAAGCCTATAGACGTCTTCTTATAACAATGTCTGTAAATATATAAAATAAGATACATGGGGTTGCTGAGGAAACCAGTTATGCTGCAATATGGTTATCAAAATATTAAAAACAAACAAAATTCCCCAGGTTAAGAAGGCTATGCTAGCAGAATGTAAGGTTTTAACCAGAGGGCAGAACCCCTTTCACCTTCACAGTCTGTTCAGGTGGTTCAGACAAGCAGTAAGCAGTTACTAAATGCTTGGGACTGAGTGATGGATTCTTTGAAGGGGGGGCAAAGGGTCTCTGGAGGCCTGAGTGGGGCAGTGGCTGCTCTTTCCTGCCTGGGGATTCTGTTCCAGGTCCTAGGCAGCAGAGGTTGGGGCCACTGACCCTGAGTCATGACATCAGCAGTCACGGGAGCTAAATTGCAAGGGACACTTGAGATCATCCAGAACAGGCCGGCGTCCTCAGTTCAGAGATTAGGAGTGTCCCAGCTAAATAAGGGAACTCGAATGCTCAAGGTCACACAGGCAGTAAGGGCTCAAACCCAAGCACTTGATTGGCACATCCAGAGCATTTTTTCCCTTTGGACAACACATTTCCCAGTGGGGCGAGGGAAGGCCAAGCCAGAGCCTAGGTTGGTGTTTCTGGAAGCAGGACAAGAGTAAGAGTCCCAGGCTTCCCCAATTCCTTTCCATCCTCCTGTCACCCCCAGGTCCAGGACTGAGATGAGGAGCCTGGATTACCCCTCCCCATCTCCACTCTAGGCAAAGTTGATCTACTGAGTGTTTGGTGGGGGGTTGCCCTGGAGAACTGAGGGGAGGGAGTGGGAAGGGCCAGATGAACAGGGTGACCTTAGGTAGATCTCTTCATCCACGGGCCTGAGCATCATCTTATAAGTACAGTGAAAAGATTTTTATCTAAGGCCTTTTACCCTTTTATCCTTCATGCTGTCTGTTCTAAGACCCTTTTCAGTTCTAAAATTGTGTTTGAAGAGCCTGACAGTGTATGGTTTTAGGTCTCTTCCAACTCTGACTTTTATGTTCTCAGGCCCTTTCCAGTTTCCTCAGCTGCCAAATGGGGATGATAATAGCACCTATTTGCTAGGGTTGTTTTGAGGATAGAATGAGATAATATTGGTAAAGCTCTCAGTGCTGTGCCTGATAAGTACTATTTTTGTTATTTTTCCCTTTTTTATTTATCCTTTGTTTTTTTAACCATTCTTTTCTTTTGAAATTTTGAGTTCCAGATTCTGTCTCTGTTTGCACTCTTCCAGAACATGTTATCAATTATACATGTGAAATCCGTATTTGACATATCACCAGAAAAAAAAGTAAGAAACTTCGACTTTGGTTGTACTCAGCGTTCATTAGTTCTGTTTTTGGAGGTGGACAGCACTTTTCATCATGGGTCCTTTGGAAGTGTCTTGGATCGCTGCATTGATGAGAGTAGCCAAGTCTTTCACAGTTGAGCATCATTACAACGTTGCTGTTACTGTGCATAATGATCTCCCCGTTCTTCTCATTTTCCTCTGTATCAGTTCATATACATCTTCCCAGTTTTTCTGAAATCAGCCCACTCATCATTCTTTATAACACTAAAGTATTCCATCACAGTCACGTACTACAACTTTTTCAGCTGCTCCCCAGTTGATAGGCATCCCCTCAATTTCCCATTCTTTGCCACCACAGAAAGAGCTGCTATAAATATTTTTCTACATATAGGGCCTTTTCCTTTTTCTTTGCTCTTTTTGGGATACAGACCTAGTAGTAGTACTGCAGGACAAAGGGTATGTAGGCACAGTCTTATAGCCCTCTGGGCATAGCTCCAGGGTGTCCTCCAGAACTGACAGGGAGTATTCAGTGTATGTTCCTTCTCTCCAGCTCTAAAATTCCATGTGTCTGTTCCATCGTCACATCCCGACCTAATTTTCTGTGTCCTAAGGTCCCCTGCAACACTCAGTCTTGTGATCTTAGGAATCACAAGGACTGGGTAATCCTCACCCTAAATCCTGGGATTCCCCCCCCCCCAATTTCTTCATTTCTCTGTCTCAGTCTTCAGTGAAGGCCATGACATAAAGGGAATAAGGAGCTTCCAACATAAAGGGAATAAGGAGCTTCCAGGGAGCAGAGTCCATTCAGACTCTTTTCTATCCAGAGTCCCTCCCCTAACCTGCCTTGATGTCTCCCAAAGTCTGGGGCAAGGTCCAGGGAGTGCAGGAAGGAGCCCAGAGTGCTCCACCCACATTCCAAATGGGGGCCAGACTGAGATCTTTGCTAAATGTCCTCGATTCCCAGCCTTTCTGGAAGGTGGCACAGGGTTAGGGGCATCCAGAGAGAATGGGGGAAACTCCCAATTGCAGAGTTGGTGAGGATCTCTGCAATTGCTAGCTGGTCCAGCTCAATTCTATGTAAGGAGACCTTTTTTTCAAAAATAAAAAAGTGAATTTTTTAACCGTTACTTTTTGAGTTCTGAATTCTCTTCCCACCTCCGTTTCCTGTCCCAGCATTGAGAAGCAGTTTGTGGAGGCATGCAAAACATATTTCTGTATTAGCCAAAAAAGCAAAAGTAAAAGAAAGAAAGAAAATGGCCAAAAAAAAAAAAACAACCCTATGCTTCAATCTGCAGTCAGAGTTGATTAGTTCTCTCTGGAAGTGCACAGCATTTTTCTACAGATGATTTCTTTGAAATTGTCATGGACATTGTTTTCATCAGAGTAACTAAGTCTTTCCCAGTTGTTCCTGGTTAAAATATTGCAGTTACTATGGACTGTGTTCTCCTGGTTCTGCTCACTTCACTCACTTGGTTCAGAGAAGTCTTCCCAAGGTGTCCTTTTGGGAAGACCCTGGAACAGGATTTCCCTGGTGCCCTAATGAAGGGAGATGGTTGTTTTTTAAAGGTTGAATACCTTTATTCCACACCCTTTCATTTTTTCAGATGAGTTTACTTGATGCTTGAAGAGAAGAGTCACGGGATTAAAGAAAGATAGATTTCAGAAGAGCTTTGGGGTAATATTACTTTTCCTAGTCCACCCTCTCTCCCTCCTCTGTACTGGAGCAGCCAGGACTGCTGGGCTAGGTCAGAGGTAGAGAGACCTGCCCCAGGGTGACATGGGGGGTGGTAGGCAGGGGTGGTGACAAGGGAGGGCAGTCTGGACCCAGCTGGCAAGGAGATTAAAAGCTGGGACTCTCAGGTCAACAATCACTTCTCCACTGCACTCACTGTGGCCGCCCATGCAAGATGGCTCCAGTCACAGCTTTGACATCTCTGCTGTTCCTCCTGCTCCTGGCGCACATAGCACCCAGCCAGGCCTGGAGTCGCCATCACCTTCACCTCTATGGAAAATTCCGACTCAGAAAGAATGTCTGTACCGAGCCCATTTACAACTGGTGCTGCTCCTGGGACACCGTCCGAAGCTGCCAGGTACTGGAATGGGGGCAGAACCACTGGCTAGACCATGGTTGGGATTGGGGCCAGAGCTGGGGTTGGGGCAGGAGAATAGGGTCAGATCCTGAGCTCTTCCCCCTACTCCCCTGCCAGAAGCCAGGCAGGCACCTGGTGGGGCACAGACCAGCAGGCGGGACAACGTCCCAAGGCGGGTCTCTGGGTCATCTGACCCTCTCCTATCCTAGGCCTGCACCAGACACTCGGTGAGATAGGAGCCAGCTACATCAACCCATCAGGCCAGAGGCAAAGGGAATAGAACCAGGGTCTCTGAGTACCAGACAGGCAGATAGCTCCCTGAAGGACATGGCTGGACAGAGAAAGTAGCATCTAAGTGACAGACCCTGGAGCATATAAGCAGGGACCTGGATAAAGAAACCAGGAGGGCAAAGCGCTTTTCCCCCAGAGCCTAGGTGGTAGCCTTGGATGGGTGGGCCTTCCTACAGCTCCAAGTGGTCCCACAGCCTTTTCTTTTTCCCCTACTGCTTTTCCTAGCAATTTAGACTTAATTTAGATTTGACTTCAGGGTGGAGGTGCCCATGGGAGATTCACCTGAAGTGGGACTATCCTTGCCCCTGCCTGGGGTCATTGGGCAGCCAAGCATCTAGAGGATGTTTCCTAGGGAGCTGGAAGCTGGGAAGAGCAGGAGAAGAAAAGTGTTGAGGGGAAGTCAAAGATGCAGCCAGTTGAGAGGGTCAGGATTTGCTCAGAAACCCCATGACAGGCACATGGTGACTCACTGGAGCCGATTCCTCAGTGGTTTCAGAGGATGGGGAAGGGGTGGCCAGAGAAGTAGGAAGCTGTCCCCAGTCAGTGGCCATAAGGGATCTTCTTTATCATGAAGAATGGGAGAGCTGAGAGGGCTCCTAGAACACAGAGCTGGAAGAAGACTGCAGGCATCTATTGATAGGGTGACAGGGCCAGAAATTCTGGGGAGAATACCTGTGCCAGAAGGGTCCTCCAGATGATCAGGGACCAGTGGCCTCATTCTGCAGATTGGGAAACAGGCCAGAGAGTTCCTCTCTGCCAGACCATCAGCCAGCCAGTATTCATTAAGTGCCTCGAATGTGCCAGATGGTGCTAGGGCTGGGGCTAAAACACCAAAGGGAGATAGTCCCAAAGGACTAGCTCCATGAGGAGCTGCCACTCTACTGGGGGATAGAACATGTTCACTGCACACAAGTCAATCTAGCCCGTAGGAGACCGGCACCCCAGTGGATGTCTGCATTCATTGGCACAGGAAAGTCTGCTGAGCAGTGTCCCTCTACCAGGGAAAGTTGGTACTTTCTCTACTACTTACCATCTTAGAGAGTGTCTCAGGCACTGAGACCCAGTGACTTGCCCAAGACTACTTAGCCACTAGGTGCTTAGGACAGGACCCAGGTCTTCCTGGCTTCATGGGAGCCTTTGCATGTGGGACAGATGGACAGATAGAGTATATATGGATATGTCTATTGATAGCTATATAAAATGTATGTATGTGCATGTATGTCTATATGAATATATCTAGAATATCAACAACATATTGATGGGGGCAGGGGGAGGACATTGACAAAGAGGTCTCTTAAAGGAGGTGTCACTGAGCTGAACCTTAAAGGAAGCTAGGTGTTCCAAGACAGAGGTAGGGAGGTAGAACATTCCAGGTATCAAGGGCAGCCTGTGCTAGGACCTGGAGGTGGGAGATGGAGTCTCCTGTTCTAGAAAGAGCAGTTGGCTGAAGTATAGAATGAGTGATAGGAAGTCATGTGTAATGAGTCTGGAAAGAGAGGCTGTGTAGCCAGAATCTGATGGGCATTCAGTGCCAAAGAAAGGAGTTGGTATTATTTTTTTCACAACAGCAGAGGAAGGCCAGTGAAACTTCTTGGGGAAAATCACTCTGGCAGCTGTGTGCAGGATGAATTGGAGAGAGGAGAGGCTGGAGGCAAGGCCAGACCCTGCAATAGTCTGTGTAACGGACAACGTGAGGAGACTTGGCTGCTGTTGGCTCTCAGGATCCCGTAGTGGGCGGGGAGCTCGGTGCAGCTTGGCCTCAGGAGCCTGTCACACTGTACTCAGGTGCCCTGACCTGCCCCCCCTGCAGACAAAAACAGAATGCGTTACCTTGTGGAGATCTCAGCCCGTCTCTCCTGTCACTGTGAAACTCTTCTATGAGGCCCTGTGCCCTGCCACTCCTTCACGTCAGTGGTGCCCTTCCCTACCTGGGCTTTGCTGGGCAGTGACATCTCGGATGTAGTCCTTGTGCCTTTTGGCAATGCTGAGGTGAATGGTCCAGCTCTGCCGGGGCTGGGGGTGGGGAACGTGTCAGGAGCCTTCTGACTTCCCCTTCATGTCTGGGGTGTGTGTGTTTCAGGAGAGACTTGTGAATGGGAACTGGGAGTTTACCTGTCAACATGGGGAGCTGGAGTGTGAACTCAACATGGTTTAGGTAAAAACTCTTCTGCCCCAAGCCTGTCTTGGAAGTGTTGTGTGACTGTGGGCAGTCCACTTAACCTGTGGGCTTCTTTTTGTTCTCCTGGTGCATTAGGGGGAGGCACTGGGTGTATAGTATTTCCCCAGGGAAAGAGGTTTCTGGCTTTCTGCCCCTTAATCTTAGCCTCTGCTCCTACAGACCTGTTTGACCCAAATCATTGGAAAACAGTTTGGCACTGCCTTTGCTGTGATCAACTATATGTCAGCTGCTCATCCAGAGACCTGACTAGAGCCAGTAAGTGCCTGCCAGTTCTAGGCAGGGGGGAAAGAAATGGAAAGAGAGGAGATCCCTTCCAGCCCCCTCTTTGTCTCTGCCCTGGGGCTACAGTTGGGCAGATGGCTCCCTGAACCCTGAGGCAGCACGTCACTCTCCTGAGTTCACCCCACTCTCATAACTGTTGAGAGAAGGTAAGGGAGGACCTGATGGAAAAGATTTGTCCCATTTTCAGGGAGAAGGCTTCCTGGGTTTTCAATTCCCCTTTCTTTTCCTCCACTGCTTCAGTGACAGAGATGAGGTTGGCCCAGTGGCTCTGAGGGAAGAAGAAAAGTGGGGTAATGCTGCAGGGCTCAGGTCCCCCTCCAAATAATACCTCCTTCACCTCTCTGCACAGTGTCTGAAGGTCTATGCCCCCAAAACTTCTGTGGCTGAAGTCATGAAATGTGCAAGAGGACCTCAAGGCAAAGAGATGATGCATCAGAATGCCATGCTGACAGATCATCTTTCCCCTCCACATACATACACCCCTTGGATTCTGGTTAATGAGGTAAGAAGTGTACCCTATCCCCACCTCACCTACTGCCTTCTGTTAAGTTAGCCTAGCCTTCTCCCCCAGGCCACTACTCCCAACCCCCGCCCCCCAACTCCTATCTAAGGAAGGGACCATAATTTCCCCAGGCAGATCACAAGGGTTTCTTCTTAGGGTCTTGTGGGTATCTGGCATTGCCCAGACACAGAAGCTTGTGAGAATGGAGGGAGAAAAGGTGGACCTGAACTCTGACGAGGCAATGCAGTGTAGCGGGCAGAGGACCTGGGTTCAGAACTTATTTGAACAATTCTTTCTGTGACAGGGCTTGCCAGTTTATCCCTCTGTGCCTCTGTTTCCTCACCTGTAAAATAAAGGGGATAGTGGCCTGAGTTCCCTCACAGAATGGATGAGAGGGAAATGGCCTTGAAGTGGGAGTTGTTTTTATCTAGTCTCATTTTACAGATGAGTTATTTTATAGAAGTGAAGTGAGTTGCCCTAGTTCCCAGGTAGTAAGGAGCAGAGCCCAGATGTCTGCCTGGTTCTCTGACTCCAAATCACCCAGTCCATGCTTGTGATCTTGACCACTCTAGCATTCACTGGCCATGTGACTTTGAGTGAGTCCCTTCCACATTCTGAGCCTCCATTTATGCCTTAATCATTCTACTCAGGCTTCTCGGGAGTTATAGTTAGGGTTAGTTTCCTAGCTCTTCAAGCTTATACATTTTCCTTTTATTCTCTATTTTCCCTCTGACAATATCCTTTTTTTTGAGCACAGACACTTAGAGAATCCAGCTGAACTCTTAAACATCGTGTGTCATATATACCAGGTGAGTTGCCATACCTCATTTAGAGACACTTCCAAGATGAGGAGGAGTCCCTGAAACGGTCAGGTCCTTAATTCAAGAGGGCCAGTGGTGGTGCTGGGGGTTGAGGGTGGTGGTGGTAGTGGTAGTGGTAGTGGTATCAAGCTTCAGGACTCAGGCTCACAGATTCCACATTCCCAGCAGGGAGAGGAGGGGACAAAGATGAGTTGGGACCTAAGAGTAACAGTGTCAATATCTTTTGTAGGGGGAGATGCCTGAAGCCTGCAAAAGGAATATCTTTACCATCACCACCTGAATCTTCTTGCAGTGGACCAGCAGTGGCCTCAGGTGCATTAATGCAGGCCTGGTACACTACCAGTCATATACATCAGGAGGGAGCTGGCTGGGCTGAGAGGGACCAAGTCACCATGAGTAGTAGCCCGGAGTCTGATGTATCTGAGTACCCAGAGCTTTTTGTTTCTTCCTGACAGGCTCAGGACATCTCACCCTTTCCAGGGTTTTGCTGAAATAAAAACCTATTTTTTAAAGATAGTAATAATTTATTTATTTTTAGCTTTTAACATTCACTTCCATTGGATTTTGAGTTTTAAATTTTCTTCCTCTCTGTCTCCTTCCCCCTCCCCAAGACGGCATGTAATCTGATGTGGGCTCTACTTATACATTCATATTAAGCATATTTTCACATTAGTCATGATGTATAGAAGAATTAGAACCAATGGGAGGAACCACCAGAAAGAAGAAATAAAAACAACAAAAGAAAAGGGGAGCGAATACTATGCTTCCCTCTGCATTCAGATTCCATGGTTCTTCCTCTGGATGTGGACGGCATTTTCTGTCGTGAGTCTTTTGGTACGGTCTCAGATCCTCGCACTGCTGAGAAGAGCCAAGTCTCTCAGAGTCAGGCATCGCACAGTGTGGCAGTTGCTGTGTACGGTGTTCTCCTGGTTCTGCTCACTTCACTCAGCTCATCAGCTTATAGCACAATAGTAGTCCAGTACATTCATATACCACAACTTGTTCAGCCATTCCCTAACTGAAGGGCATCCCCTCAATTTCCAATTCTTTGCCGCCACAGAAAGAGCTGCTATAAATATTTTTGTACATGTGGGTCCTTTTCCCATAAAAACCGATTTTTCAAAAGATTATTTAAGAGTTAAAAAAAAAAACAAACCAGAAGGTCAGAAGGCCCAGGTCTTGCCAATCTCTGACATTCTGTGTTCTAAGGTTCCTTCCAGATGTGACATTGTGTTCTAAGGTTCTTCCCAGCCCTGGCATTCTGTGGCCAAGTTCTCTTCTAGTTTGGATCATGACCTACATTCTCTTCTAGCGGCCTTTCTCTTCTCTACACTTGGTGGTCTCTCCGAGGAATAACATTCTTGACAGCCTTGATAGTCAAGTTGCACAGTCTCTTCTCAGAAACACATCTGAAACACAGTAACATTGATAGTTCCCATTCATATGACACTTTACTCTTTACAATGAATCATTTAAAAAAATTTTTTTGTTCTCTTGCACGTACAAGACTTGGTGTCCAAGTACTTGTGATTTCTCCAGGAGATAAAGCCAGACGCAGGAACAATTAGATAACAATTAAATTCTGTGACTGAGTGTTGGGTTACTGGGGCCCCATGCTCTGCTGGGATCTGGGAAAACAGGTCACAGATCATTCCATAAACAGTAGTCTCTGAAAAATCACTTCTGTCAGTATGGAGGATGGATTGGAGTGGGTAGAGACTTGAGGCAGGCACACCCCCTCCCCTATCCCTTCCCACTCTAAGGTATTGCAATAGACCAGGGATGAGGTGATAAGGGTCTGCACTAGGAGGGGGTCAGTGTCAGGGGAGAGAAGGGGGCTTATTGGAGAAATGTGAGAAAAGTGTAATTGACGGAACTTGACAACAGCTTGGATATGAAGTTGAGAGATACTGACAAGTCCAGAATGACTCCTAGGTTGTGAGCATGAGGGAACTGAAGCATGGTGTTGCCCTCCACAGCAATAGAGAAAGGGGTGTGTGTGTGTGTGTGTGTGTTGGGAGGGTTCAAATGGGAAAAATGATGAATTTGTTTTTGAGCTTCAGTTTAAGATATCTACAGGGGCATCCAATTTGACATCTCTAATAGTCATTTGGAAATGGGACTCAGAATGTACATAGAGAGGTTAGGTCTAGATAAATGGATTTGAGAATCATTGGAATACAGAAAATTGAATCCAAGGAAGCTGATGAGGTCCTGAAGCAAAGTGGAATTGAGGGAGAAAAGAGATCAGGATGGAGTCCTGGGGAACACTCAGACTTAGTGGGCATGACCTGGATGGAGTTAGAGCAAAGGAGACTGAGGCATCTATAGAGAGGGGAAAGGGAGAGAGCAGTCTCTTTTTTTGGGGGGTGGGGCTATTAGCATATAAAACTAGTGTTTACTGAGCCTGCTGAAATGTAATACATGGTCAATTTTTGTGTAGGTGCAATGTACCACTGAGAAAAATGTTCCCATTCACTTTCTCCAGAGATCTAGCATATCTAACTTTTCCAGAATTTTACTCACCTCCTTAACCTCTTTTTTGTCTATTTTTTGGTTAGATTTATCTTGTTTGGAGAGAGGAAATTTGAGGTCCCCACTAGTATATATTTATTGTGTATTCCTCCCAGTAACTCCTTTAATTCTCCTTAAAAAATTTAGATATTACACCATTTGGTACATATATGTTTAGTAGTGATATGACTTCATTGTCTCTGGTACCTTTCAGCAAGATATAATTTCCTTCTTATCTTTTTTTATTAGATCTATTTTTGCTTTTGCTTTGTCTGAGATCATGACTGCTACCCTTGCTTTCTTTGCTTCAGCTGAAGTATAATAGATTTTGCTCCAGCCCCTTATCTTTACTCTGTGTGTTATCTCTGTGCTTCAGATATGTTTCTTATAAACAACATATTGAAGGTTTCTGGTTTTTAATCCATTCTGTTATCCACTTGTTCTATAGGTGAATTCATCCCATTTATATTTATAGTTATGATAACCATGTATTTCCCTCCATACTATTCTCCCCTTGTTTATCCCCTCCTTACCCCTTTCCTGTGTTTTACTTCTGATCACTGCTTCCCTCAATTTCCACTCCCTTCTATCATTCACCATCCCCCTTCTATTATTCCCATCCTTTTTTACTTTGTTATGTGGCAAGACAGATTTCTGTATCCAAATGAGTTTGTATCTTATTCTCTCTTTGAGCCAATTCTAATGAGAATAAGGTTTAAGCTTTGCCTGCCCCTATCTTCCCCTCTATTATAAAATCTTTTATGACTCTTTTATGTGAGATAATTTACCTCATTATATCTGACCCCTTCTTTTTCCAATGCAATTGTCTTTCTCACCCATTTTGTTTTTGTGGGTATCATTCCATCAAAGTCATCTTTTATTCATCACACCATCTGTCTACATATAATCCTTCTAATTGCTATTTATTAGTAATAAAGTTAAGAGTTACAAATATTATCTTGCCATATAGAAATATAAACAGTTTAACCTTATTGAATCTCTTGTTTTCTCTTTTTTTTTTTTAACCTTTTTAGGTTTCTCTTGAGTCGTGTATTTGGAGATCAAATTTTTTTATTCAGCTCTGGGCTTTTTATTAGGAAAGTTTGAAAGTCCTCCATTTCATTAAATATCCATTTTTTTCCTTGAAGGATTATATTGGTTTTGCCAAGTAGGGATTCTTTATTTTAATGTTAACACCTTTGCCTTCAAGCCCGTGGGTTCTTTAATGTGGAAGCTGCCAAATCCTATGTAATCCTAACTGTAGCTTCAGGATATATGAATTGTTTTGTTTTGACTGCTTGCAGTGCTTTCTCCTTCATCTGTGAGCTTTGGAATTTGACTATGATGGTCCTGGGAATTTTTACTTTGGGACCTCTTTCAGTTGGTGAACAGTGAATTCTTTCAATTTGTCTTCTGGTTCTAATATATTGGTGCAGTTTTCCTTGATAATCTCTTTAAAGATGTTGTTCAGGCCTTTTTTTTTTAAATCATGACTTTCAGGTAGTGTGATAATTTTTGAATTATCTCTCTTGGATCTATTTTCCAGGTTAGTTGTTTTTCCAGTGAAAAATTTCACATTTTCTTCTATTTTTAAAATTTATTTTTTGATTGTATCTCGATGTCTCATGGAGTTATTAGCTTCCACTTGCCCAATTCTAATTTTTAAGGAATTATTTTTTTCATTGAGCTTTTATACTTCCTTTTCCATTTGGCCTATTTCTATTTTAAGGGAGTTATTTTCTTCAGTGAATTTTTGTATAACTTTCCATGCTGTTGACTCTTTTTTTGGTGATTCTATTGCATTACTCTCATTTCTTTCCCCAATTTTTCTTCTACTTCTCTAATTTCCTTTTTAAAATTTTTTTAAGCTCTTCCAGCAGTTCTTATTGGACCTGAGACCAAATTATATTTTCTTTGAGGCTTTACATGTAGCCATTTTGACAATGTTGTCCTCTTCTAAATTTCTGTTTCGTTCCTCCCTGTCATAGTAGCTTTCTATTGTCAAACTGGCTTTTTGATCTTTTTTTTTTTCTCCCTGTTTTTTGACTCAGTATCTTTATTTGAGAGTTGGGCTCTGGTCCTGCACCGTCCCAAGTTTCTGGTGCTTGGGCTCAGGGCCTTGCTTCTGAGTTTCACTGGGCTTCAGGGCCTAGGTGCTGGTTTGCACTGGAGGGATGGTCTCTGTGCTGGCTTGTATTGGGGGGCCAGGGTAAGGCCTCCCCCATAACTTCTCCTGGGTGTGTGGTTTCAGTGCTGGCCTGCCCCCTGTAGCATGAAGTGGGAGTGCTTTCTTCTTGGCTGCTGTGGAAATAAGGCCTCTGTGCTGGCTGGCCCCAGGGGTAGGGCCTCACTATTGGTCAGTTATGGGGATTAGGCCTCAATAGTGGCCTATGTTGGGGATGGGGCTGCTGGGGTTGAGGCCTTGCTAGACTGCCCAGATTGCTGGCTTGCAGGAGGGTGGGGCCCCCCTGGTAGATTAACCCCATCTTTGAACTTTGCTGCAGGCTCCCTGTTGTGAGATTAGCTGCTGGAGAGCAGCCACTTTTAAGGACTCCTGGTCAGGGTTCAATGTGAGACCAAAACCACAATTTCAAAGGACTCATGAAACATGACAGCCATCACCAGATAGAGAGCTGAAGGACTCAGAGGGCAGATTGGAGAATATTTTCTTTTTTCTTGCTTTTTTCTTTTGGGGAGGGCAGAACATGGCCAAGGTGGAAAGATGTTCTGCAAATTTCTAACAGGAGGGAATAAGCATTTATATAGAGCCTACCACGTGCCACGTCTGTTAAGCATTTTAGGGATACTGACTCATTTGCTTCTCACAACCCTGGGAGGTAGGTGGTTATCATCCCTATTTTACAGACGGGGAAACTGAGGCTGACAGCTGAAGACTTACCCGGGGTCCCAGAGGGAGAAGTGCCTGAGGCTGCATCTGCCCCGGGCTCTTCCTGGCCGCCCGGCGCTCTGGGAACACGGCGGCCTCTGCCCTGTTTCTTTAGTGAGTTTTATTTTTCTTGCTTCTCCATGGGTGGGGTTGGGGAGAATTTGGAACCGAAAATCAACTAAACTAACGACAACTGAATCTAAACCAGGCACGTGAGCCCGAGCCTCCAGCTGCTCAGACGGGGGGAGGGGCCAGGTCACGCGAAGGGAGGAGCTGAGCTCGAGTCTGCGCAGTTCCCACTTCCGCCCCAGGGAGCTGTGGGTCCGGTAGGAGGCGGGTCCGCGCCTGGTGACATCACCGCGCAGCCGGGCGGCCGTCGGAAGCATGTGTTTGGGAGCCGGAGCCGAGGCCGCGTCCCTGGCGGTGTCGCGCGCGAGCTTCCGGGAGCTTCCGGCGGCTTCAGGGTGTCCGGGGCCCGCGATGCCTCCGCCGCGAGTCGTCGTGGGCCTGTGGGCCGCGTGGCGGCCGCTGTTCCGGGGCCGGCTCCTGCTGGTCACCAACACGTTGGGCTGCGGGGCGCTCATGGCGGCGGGGGACGGGGTGCGCCAGGCCTGGGAGCGCAGGCTGAGCGAGGGCGCCTCCGGGCAGCCCCGGCCGATGGACCTGCGCCGCACCGGTGAGCCGACCCCCCCGACCCTGGCCCCGGGATCGGTGTGACGTGGGAGCCGCGCTGGGGCGGTCCCTGAATGGGGGTCACCCTGCCCCCTGCCCCCCTCCCACGTCCTCCCATAGACCGCCGAAACGCACACGCACACTGCCTGCGCAGGAGCAGCCCCTAGCCCAGCTCACCATTACTGAGATGGAGAAGCCACGCGCAGCAGAAGCTTGCTGACACCCCTGTCTCTTCATTCCCAATAGCCATAACTCAGGCCCCTCACCCAACCCCCACTTTAGCCCCCCTCCTGATCTTCCTTAGGGTAGCTGGGTGGATACAGAGCCCCGTCTGCAGTCGGGAAGACCGAAGCCCCAGTCTGGCCTCAGACACTCACTGGCTACTTTTCAGCCTCCAGTGCCGTGCCGCCCCCATGCCATTTCCCAAGAGCACTTGGAGGGACTCCTGGTGAAAGTACCGAGTTGCCGTTTTCTACCTTTCCCAGGACAAGGTGTGAGGGAGCCCAGGAGCCCCCTGATCCCCCATTGGCTTGTCTGGTTCCATCACCTTTCCGGTTTCTTCCTGCAGCCCGGATGTTTGCGATGGGTTGTAGCATGGGCCCCTTCCTGCACTACTGGTACCTGTGGCTGGACAAACTCTTCCCCGCCATGGGATTTAAAGACATTCGAACCATCGTGAAGAAGGTGCTCATTGACCAGCTGGTGGCATCCCCTGTCCTGGGCGTGTGGTACTTCCTAGGTAAGTTGTGCTGGCTCGAAGAATCGTAAAACTCCTTGTGAACTGTTGTAATGTCACATTCCTAAAAGCCCCCTACAAATGTGAGAGATGCTCACGCCCTGTGGCATAATTGTGATTCTGAAGATGGGGAAGACCTTTCAGATTTGGCCTATAGATAAGTGCTTCACGGAGGACTGGATTGAACTCTTCTCTCATTAATCAAAAGGGAGAATTGAACAAACACTGCCTACAAAATGGAGCTGGTTTTGTTTGGAAATCTAGAGAGCCAATTAGATTCTGCCTCATAAACACTGAGTCCATCTTGTGTATTATCCACCTGTATTATTCTCCACCTTACTGTTTTTCTGAGAATCATCCATGGGAAACTGGAGAATATAAGCTATCTTTTGTTTCATAAATGCAGGTGGATACAGTTAATCAGCATTTCTCAATTCTGGGAAAAGACCTCAAATCCTACTTGCCCCCCTCCCAGGTAGATGGAAACTCACTCTTCCCCCCCTTACGCTTGGAAAGGCCCTAATCTGTCTTCCTGTTAGAACTCACATTCCCTACTTTTGTGTCTTTTTAATTGTTTCCACTTAATTAATTGGTCTTACTTGATTAACTTTTTACTTCATAAAAATTTCACGCTATTCTGGGTCTTTGGACTGACTAGGGAATCCATTGACCTATTTATTGTGCCTGTTTTGCTCCTAAATTGTATAGCTCGGATTATTTCCTCAGTTATTATTACATATCCACCCATTATTATTAATTATCCAGACTGGGTTCTGAGCCTAGCAGGTCTTCAAGCCTCTCCCTTCATGAATTCTTATGAATTTTGGACCCAGCCTTTAAAGTGTGACTCATGTATCACACCTCACCACAAGACCTTTCCAGGTCCCACTGCTTGGTGATGAAGTTCCCTCCTTCCTCACCTCACCAACTGGCTTCTGGACCTCTGATGTCCTTGTCCTGACAGGTTATGTGGTATCGTTGTCTATGTGTCTTTTCCCCAGGCAAAGCTGTGAGGTCCGTGGGAACAGAGACAGTCTGAACTCAGCTTTTCATCTACTCTGAGGCGTAGCACAAAGGGCATAAGAGATGTTTGTTGAGTAAATGAATACATGATGGTGAGGAGATGAAAAAGTGACCAGGACGCAAGGAAGTGAATTTTAAGTTCTTGGTCAGAGAGCATTAGATTTAGAGCAAGAAGGGAGGCGAGTGAATCAATTAAAAGAACACTAATACAGCCGATGTCTGTGCAGTTGACTTAAATTCCCAGCTGGCACGTTCGTGATACTTCTGTTGTTTTTGTTATTGTCTGGTTGTTTTAGTTGTGTCTGACTCTCACTCCATTTGAGGTTTTCTTGGCAGAGTTCCTGGAGTGGTTTGTCATTTCCTTCTCCAGTTTATTTTACAATTGGGGAAACTGAGGCAAACAGGTGAAGTGACTTGCCCAGGATCACACAGCTAGTAAGTGTCTGAGGCTGGATTGGAGCTAAAGTCTTCCTGACTCAGGCCTGGTGCTCTGTGCACTATGGCGCCACCTAGCTGCCCAAGGAAATAAAATTTGTGAGGCATAGTTGTAGAGCTCTCCTTTTAGGGATGATACAATAAGTACTGAAATTACTGCAGTAAAAGGTAGATCTTGATATATGGGATATGGCCTTGTTCTTGAGTTCTTTCAGGGAAGGGAATGTATTTTCTGAATAAACAGATGCTTCCTGGAGGATCTATAGAATTCCAGTAGGCTAAAGCCAGCAGTTCTGTGAACCAAGTCATGGTAACAGAGAAATGGTAGATGGGCATGGTGGGGGACTCAGGGCGCCAGATAGTCTAGTTCAACTGAAATGCAGAGCTATGTAGAGGGAGCAGGAGACAGAAAAGGAGAAGGGTAGGCTGAGAGCAAAGCAGTGACCAACTGAGAATCCTGCCTCCTCCCTCCTGACCCAAGAGGTGTGAGATGAGGCAGACATTTTCAGACATGGCCACTCGCCTGGTTTTTTCGTTTTACAGTACTCATTTGTTATGAGCGGAGTGGGTTTGGGGGCATAGCAGTGGAGAGATGTAAAAAAAATGAAAAGCACCTCAATTTTTTTTTTCAAGAATGGAAAGCTAGAGGGACTTCAGCTTCTAGAATGTTTTGGATTTTCCATTTGTCCTTGGCAGACATTGGGGAGTCACCCCTGAGGCTTTGTGAATAGAAGAATCATAGGGCCAGACTGAATCCACTTCAGCAATCATGTATTAAGTACCTACTGTGTGCAAGACTAGAACTTTGAGTAACGAAAATTTGTCTGACAAGATGGGAAGGATGACAGGCAGAAAGGGATGATGAGAGACAGAGCAAGGAGTCTGATTTTGTAGAAGTAGAAACAGTAATAATAATAATATCATTTGCATTGCACTTTAAGGCTTGTGAAATGCTTTATAAAAATTATCTCATTTGGTCTTGACCACACCCATGGGATGTCAGTGGTATTATGATCCTCATTTTATAGATGAGGAAGCTGAGGCAGATAGAGGTTAAGTGCCTCTTTCTTTAAGGGTGACAGCTAGGAAGTGTCTGACCTCTGATGTTCCTGCCTTCAGGTCCAGGACTCTAGCCACTGAGCCACCCAGCTGCCTCTGCTCTAAGTGGAGCAGAGGGTTTTTGTAGAGAGGCAGGAGAAGATTAGGTAGGTTGAAAGCTGATTGTTCAGGGCCAGGTAATGCTGGCTGCCTGGGTGGGAGAAGAGTCTGGAGGTGGGAAGCCTGTTAGAGCTGCAAACACTTTTAAATAGCTCATCTTTTCTGTCTCTCCTCTGCCTTGCAAGGAAACCCTTCAGTTTGGCATTCAAACCAGGCTTCCTGATTCCCAGTCCAGAACTTTGTAAGCTGCTCCTCAGGTGGTATCCTCAGGTACCTTTGGGACAGCCACATGGAGCTGTCCAAAAGGCATTTGGACATGCAGGAGTGGATTTCCAGGGAGAGGTTGAGGCTAAAGAGGTAGATTGTGGAGGTGATGAATGTCTAGAGAGTAGATGAGATCTCAGGATTGAGTCTAGTGAGAAAACAGCAAAGGACTCCATTTTGAGCTTTGGAGAAGAATCAAAGTTGTAGAAAGATGGCAGTGTGTGTGTGGTGATGGTAGGGGGGCATTATCTCCTGCCTCTTCTCTTCTTCCCCATGTTGACTTTCAGGGACCCTAAGGATCCTCAAGAACCTTGAGTGTATTCTGTTTGCTAGTTTTTGCTCTGCTTCTGTGGGTTTGGGTTCCTTTTAGCCATCACCAAAGGGGAGAAATTGACCTTAAGCCCATAGCCAAGGAGAATGTGAGCCCTGCATGGTAGCACTGACCAGCAGTCCCTTATCCTAGAGTGGAGGTTGTGGCTGGGGATCTGGAGAGCTTAGGAGTTAAGAGCTGCAGCAGAGCTAGAGTCAACTGAGTGCCCACACTAAGGCTGGCACTTCTTTATAGGGAGTGTGGTCCCTGGGGGTCCAGGCCCTCAGGTTGCCTACTGAGAGAGAGAGAGAGAAAATGAAAATGAATGAGAATGTGTCCACATGATCCCATGCAGACAGCTCTGAGAAACTGGGGCTACCAAGAGGTTCAAGGGGGATGTTATACAGCTGTTTAGGTGAGGGGATTGTGACAAGAAAGGTAATCTGGATAATCCTGTGTGAGGGGTACTTTAAGGCTCAGAGTGTGGGGATGGCAGGTGTCTGTCATCTCAGGGCTTCCATGGAGATTAAGGAGGTCTATTCCTTTTCTTCTCCTCAGTTAACCATCTGTGGTTGGGAGGACTGGAAAGACTACTCTGCTGGGCCTGAGGCTCCCCTGAGCCCTCTTCCTTCCTCTTCTGGGGCTCGGGCTGCCTCCAGGCAACTCTTCTTCCTCCTCCTGTCTTTTGCTCATTAAACACCTACTCTGGGGAAAAAAAAGAGGCTTCTGGGGAACTTGAGCAGGATTTCTATGGGCCCAGAGGGAAGTGTGAAGCAGCTCTAGAAGCCAGTCTCCATCCACACACCCTTCCCAAACTGTTCTCCGGGAAGTAGGCCTGCCTGTGCCATGCTAGGGCTTCTCCCAGAGTGGGGGCTTCCTGGTCATGCGCACCCTTTCCTTCTAACCTTTTCTGCCCTTTTTCTTTGCCTCCAGGGCTGGGCTTCTTAGAGGGACAGAGCCTCGAATGTTCTTACCAGGAGATGCAGGACAAGTTCTGGGAGTTCTACAAGGTAACCTCACCATGGCCCCTAGCCTCATGGTTATCCTCTTTCCTGATAATCTTTTAGTGGGAGGAAGATTGTGGATTTTAGAGCTCAGACATCCTGTAGAAAACATCCATTTCAGCCTCCTCAGAGCAGGAAACTGAGTCTCAGACCCCTTAAAGGAATTAGTGAGAAATCAAGCTGGTATTTGAACCCAAGCCATTTGATGCCAAATCCACTGTTGTGTTGTTGTTAGTAAATAGTTTTTTTTTCCAATTACATGTAAAGATAGTTTTTTACGTTCTTTTTTTTTTTTTTAAAGATTTTGAGTTCCAAATTTTTCTCCCTCCTTCCCTCCCTGCCTGTGCCCCTCCCCAGGATGGCAAGCAATCTGATATGGGTTATACATGTGCAATCATGTTAAACATATTTCCACATTAGTCATGTGGAAAAGGTAAAAACCATGAAAATTTAAAAAAACATTTGTTAAAACAGTCTGCTTCCATCTGCATTCAGACTTCAACGTTCTTTCTTCGGATGTGGACAGCATTTGAAATGACGAGTCTTTTGTAATTGTCTTAGGTCATTGTACTGCTGAAAAGGGATAAATCTGCCATAGCTAGTTCATCATTGCACAGCGTGGCTGTTACTGGGTGCAGCGTTCTCCTGGTTCTGCTCACTTCCCTCAGCCTCAGTCCATACAAGTCTTTCCAGGTTTTTCTGAAGTCAGCCTGCTCATCATTTCTTATAGCACAGTAGTATTCCATTACATTCACATACCACAACTTGCTCAGCCATTCCCCAATGGATGGGCATCCCCGCAATTTCCAGTTTTTGGCCACTATAAGAAGAGCTGCTATAAATAGCTAATCCAGTATTCTTTTTTTTTAATATTACTTTTTTTATTTTTAGTTTTCAACATTGAATTCCATAAATTTTTGAGTTCCAGATTTTCTCCTCCTCCTTCCCTCCCCCCACCTCAAGACAACAAGCAGTCTGATGTAGGCTGTATATATACATTCTTATTGAACATATTTTCACATTAGTCATGTTGTAAAGAATTAGAACCAATGGGAGGAACCAGGAGAAAGAAGAAACAAACAAAAAAAAGAGAGTAAATAGTATGCTTCAATCTGCATTCAGTCTCCACAGTTCTTTCTCTGGATGTGGATAGCATTTTCCGTCATGAGTCTTTCGGAGATGGCTTAGATCCTTGCATTGCTGAGAAGAGCCAAGTCTCTCAAAGTCCGTCATCTCCCTGTGTTGCTGTTACTGTGTACAGTGTTCTCCTGCTTCCAGTCCAGTATTCTTGACACTGTACTGCACCGCCTGATATCAGTCCAAAACTAGACTGAGATGTGCCATCAGCTGCACCCCCAGGTCTCCTCTCTCCATTAGCATCTTAGTGAAGCCCTGAACTCCACAGGCCCAGGGTCGGGGCTCGCTCAGTTGCTGCTTCCTCAGACCTGGGCCGTCCAGATTTTCTGTACTTTGCAAAGCCTTCTGGGTTCAGTTGGAAAACAGCTGGCCACCCAAGTCTAAACCTTGGAGACAAGTCATTCTACCTCTGGCTTTAGTTTCCTAATGTGTAAATTGAGGGGTTCTACAGTATGGTCTTTGAGGATGCTCCCTGCTTTGGGGTCCTTGGAGCTGGCAGTAAGCAGAGCTTTTTCTTTGCCTTGCATGCATGGGAAACAAAACAGGTGGCCTAGAGCTTTGGTCTCCAAGTGAGTGTTAACAGAGTTGCAGTGACTTTTCCCAGGCTGAACCCTTGGCCCTTTTTCTTGCTCTGATCTTTGCTGTTGTCTTAGACCTAGTGGAGAGGGGCCTGACTGAACTCTGTTTGACACAGGCTGCCCTTCAGATCAGCCTGGTGGAGGGGAAGCATTGCTAGGGTGGGCCAGTCTCTGCCCTTTGGTGATCTCCTCAGATGGACGTAATAGTATCTGGGTCATGAGGTTACTTCACGGGAAGTGATTCTTAACGTGTCAAAGGTCCCAGGATTGTTGTTAGAGGGGGGATTATTCCAGATGGTCCAGCCTGGGGGCAGCTCATGGATTGGGGCATGCAGTTCAGCCTTTGACAAGCAGCTTTCTTAGAGATGTAACTCTGTTCTGCCCTCCCCTCCAGGCTGATTGGTGTGTGTGGCCATTAGCTCAGCTGGTGAACTTCCTTTATGTGCCTGCCCATTACCGAGTGATGTATGTGAACAGCATGACACTGGGCTGGGATACCTACCTCTCCTACCTGAAGCACCGGGTGAGTCTTGGATGTCCCCTGCTCCTGTGTCTGCTCCCTGGGCTGACTGGCCCTGACTCTCCTCCCATTTTCAGTCATCAGCTGTTGAGTTAGGGCAGAAGGTGGCCTGTCTCTAGGTTTCTATGGTTATCTCAGGCCCATCCTCAGGACCAAACTGGCCTTTCCAACAGAGCCTGGCCAAGGGAACACAAGAGGGGAAGTTGGGGCTCTTGGAGCCACACATGGACCTCTGGGCTTTTCTGTCGCAAGGTTTCAGGTTCAGTGAACTCAGGTGGAAATTATGCAGGGCTGGGAGGATAGGCTGCAGCACAGTGCCCCCTTTCCCTCCTCCCAGCTCAGTTTAGCACCTGAAACACTAGCATGGGCCAGGGGAGGGTTGTCATGTAGGACAGCAGGCTCTGGGTACAAATCCTGTCTCAGCTTCCATCTCCCATCTGGACTCAGTGATCTCTAGTGGGGGTAGGATATGCCCCCTGTGTAAGGCAGCATCAGTGGAGGGGTGCAAGGACTCCCCTTGCTGAGTGCTTCCACATGTGATGGATGGAGTTGTGACTGGCTCTGTGTTGCTCTAACCCCCCCACAGGACCACCTCCCACACTGACTAAGACACTAGGAGGAGTGAAGCACTTGGCAGTGGCATCACAGCAGGCCCATGCACGGGCATTTCGGACTGGGCTTGGAGCGAGGCAGTCACCACCAGCTCTCTGAACACAACTGGACCCTAGAAACCTAATCAAAGATTGCTGTTTAACTTCTTAACTGATTTACCGTATTCAGGAGATAGAGAAGAATGTGAGCAGAATGGACCCGGGCCTTGGGTTTGTTCAGCCACACCATTCCAAGTGGACCCCACTTCTGTGGAGATGAGTAACCAGGAATCTCAAAGCACCTTATGGATCAAAGCAGTAGAGCTCCTTGAAGGGGCTGGCCGGCATGGAGGGGCCTGCTTTGCACGTCATTACAGGGTCAGTGCCCACTGTGAAAACAGCATGATTAGGCCAGCCCACGTACCACTGGACTCCAGGATGTAGAGATTAGTCCTTGGGATTAAGGGCCAGAGAAGGAACAAACTGTTGGCCTTGTGTTTCCCTGACCCCATATCAAAAAGTAAAAATCCTGGCAGCCCTCAGTTAGCTCTTGACCAGGCCAAGAGCTGTGGGCGGGTGGTGGCAGGTGTGCAGGACCAGACATGGGGGATGCTGTCGCCTTCCTGCCTGGGGAGGCTTGTTCTGGAATGGAAGATAACTTGGGCTAATAAAGATTCTAATTCAGGTGGGTTGTACTTAGGACTCAGTCGTGTGCTCATGTGTTTGGATGAAGAGCCAAGAACACCAGATTTCATTACTGTCTCATGAGGGAGAGTAACTCAGAGCTTGGGGGACAGCAGCCTTTACACATCCAGCCGACTGGGCTCAGCAGGGTTTTATTGTTCTCACGACACTTCTGTGATACAGTGATTTAGGAAACAGCCTGTGTTTGACACTTGTCACATCTGTACAGTACACTGTAGCTGTCCCCAGAAGGTCATCAGGAAAACCACAACCAAGGGGAGCTTTTGCTAGGTTAACGTTCAGGGATCTGCATGGGCACACACCCCCACCCCCACCCCAAGAAAAAAAATGAAAAAGAAGGGATACTTGAGTTTGGTTGCTGACACAGTCACTAACTCTCATTCTCCACATGAAACAATTATACAAACACATGGGAGCAGAGGGCCTGAAGGAAACATGCTCCTTGGTGTGTGTGTCCCCCACCCCCCAAAAAACAAACGATGTTCCAGGACTTGGAAGGGGAATTGGGCTGGGTGGGGCCATTCTCCACCCCCATCCAAGGTATTCATAGCAATTTAAGCCAAATGCACCAGCAGTGCAGCCAGACCAGGCCCTCCCAAGAGTGAGACACAAGCCCATCATCTTGTGCAAACTTGAGTAGGGCCAGAGAGGTCACATGGAAAGTTGGGGGTTCCCAGCTTGCTTCTATCATCTACCCCCAGAGACAGTAGGAAGAGCAGTTTGCTATGAGGCTGTTGGTGCTTGGCCCCTCTGTCCGTGTTCTGCCCTGAAATGCTGGGTTTTAGAAGTGGCGTTAAACTGATACACAAGAAATCCATGGGCACGAGTCAGCATGGCATGGAACACACAGGACCACTCACTAATCCTATGTACAGGGTTCAGTCTCGCATATGTACAAGGAGGAAGACAGCAAGAGGAAGAGGGAGATGGATTTCTACAAGGAACTGAGGTAAGGAGGGACCCTGCAGTTGGGACGGAATGGGGGAAACATCCCACGAGTGGGGCCCTCATGGGGCCCAGGAGATCAGCCTATTGGAGGAAGGGAGATGGAGGTATGAAGAGGGGAAGAATAGGATTGGGGATGCAGAGATGGGCTTCAGCAAGTGGGGCATGGTCCCTTTAACAAGCCTCTAAATAAATAAATAAATAGCTTAATAAATTAAATAAGTTACAGGAATAGAAGCTCCTAAGAGCTCAAGAGAGACTGAGGGAGCGGGGAGACTGGAAAGACATATGAGGCCCATCCTTCCCTGCTGGGCCCTACTCTCACTGTGCACTTTGGGCTCCATGGCCCTGGAGTGAGGGAGTGAGGGGCACACAAGGAGGGTGACCCATCTGGGGGTGGGAGAGCAGGACGGGGAATGCTAGTGACCGCCGAAGAGTGGACAGAGCCTTAACAGGCACAGTCCTGGTGTGGGGGTGCCTGTTGATCTGTGAGCTGGGGGCCCTGCTTGGCTCCGGTCACAGCAGGGTCGGCTGTGTCCAGAGACTCTGACATCTTCTCGCAGATGATGTCCACCAGTCGCTCGAAGGTCTGTTTCACATTGATGTTGTCCTTGGCGCTGGCCTCGAAGAACTCGAATCCTGGCCAGAAGGAGAGGAGAAAGAACATGAGCCTGGAGTAAACGTCCCTGTAGGGATGACTGGTTCCCCACTACTCCTCACTCTCACCTAACAGGACTGGGCTAGGCAGATTTGGGGGCTGCGACTGGTGCCCTGTGACCTTCCTTGTACCCCGAAGAGAAGGGACTGTGGAATCCCAGCATGCCAGAGCTGAAAGACCTTGAAATAATTTAGTTCAGGGCTTCTCAACTAAACGGATCCAACAGTCCCCCACAGGTGCAAAGACAGCCTTAAGGAGCTCTGTGAGTTTGGTTTTTTGAACATTTTGGTAACTTGCAATACCGTGAGTTTCCTTTGCAATCCTGTGTATTTCATTTTATGCATTGAAAACCATTCTTCTGCCAAGGGGTCCAAGGCTTCACCAGACTGCCTGCAAGAGGGGTCCAGGTCATGAAGGATAAGAGCCAGCCCATAGTTTAGTCCAACACATGCTGAACAGAAGAAAACAGATCCAAGCAGGGAAGAGTGACTTAAGGCCATGCAGTGTTCCCGCTGGAGTTGGAATCCAAGTCTAGACTAAAAGACCAGTGCCCTTCCTGCTGCACCATATCTAAGAGGAGACCCTAGAATCCAGCCTCCTGGATGTGTGAAAGGAGGCCTAGAAAGGAGACCACCTGTGCAGTGAGGTCTCATGGCAAATTTGGGTACTGAGGTTTGACCCTCCATCTCCTGCCTCGCCTCCCCACTCACCCAGGTGCTCTGCTAGCTGCCGGCCCCTCTCAGAGGACACCACCCTCTCGTCCTCCATGTCACACTTGTTTCCCACAAGCAGCACCTGTGCATTGTCCCACGAGTACGTCTTGATCTGGGTTGACCTAGCGGGCACAGTAAGGAAGTGGGTCAGGGTTGGAGAAGAAGGCAGAATCAGCTCACTACCAGAGCTGGCATCCAGAAATGCCAGGTCCCCAAGGAGCCCAGGTGGGCATGTGGCTTACCAGTCCTGGACAGCATTGAAGGATTCCTCATTGGTGATGTCATACATGAGGATGAAGCCCATGGCCCCTCGGTAGTAGGCCGTGGTCCTGGCCAGTAGTACGTGGTATTCCGGGTGTTCCTGAAGAAGAGTGGAGAGTCTGAGTGGGGCCCTCACTGGGCTGGGCCCAGTTCCTCCTATCTGAATAGCTTAACTTTGATCACCGGTGCTTTCATTCAGGATGCATCCTGGCCACATTCTCTTTATCTTTTATCAACTTATGTCTTACCACTTATCAAACTTTTTCCCTAGCCAGGCTGCCAGGCAGAGGCACCAGTGTACTCCTGAGCATTCTCCAAATTTTCTCCCTCTTGAGCTCCCCCCTGCCACTCTAGATTTATCCAAGATCCTTCCAGGCCCAGTTGAGATACTACCTTCTCTCCAAAGCCTCCCCTGACTCCAAACCATATTGAACTTTGCCTTCTCTGGACTCCAGCCCTAAGCACATGGACCCTCCATTTGGCCCTGACCCCATCCATACTGCCTTACAGTCCAGAGAGATCATTAGCTGGGAGGCACCTGGAGAAAGCTTAAAGAAAGTACAGCTTCATTTTACAGAGGCAAAAATGGAGACCCAGTAAGGAAAGGACTTGGTGAAGGCCACACAGTCAGCGGCAGAGCCTCCCAACCTGGGCTGTGACCAGGCTTCTCTGACTGCATGTGTGCGGAATCATACAGTCGTTAAATTGAAAGCTGAAAGGGACCTCTGAGGTCATCAGATCTAACCCCTTTATTTTATAGTCAAAGAAGCTGAGGCACATAGCCCAGGGTGAAAGGGCTGGTATCTGAGACAGGATCGGAACCCAGGTCTTTCAGACTTCAAGTCTAGCCCTCTCCTATTCCATGCTGCCTTCTGGCAGACTTCTCTCTCCAGTACCACACTGGCCTTATTACCCACCCCTACCACACTAGACTGAGCTCTTCGTGGACATGTTTTTTCTAGTGTCCAACAACTCAGATTCCTGAACATAAAGAACTCTAGGACACCCCTTCCTTGGAATGAAGCCCCCCTCCCCAGCCCCATGAGGTGAGCAGGGCACAATTTCTTATCAGCTCCATTTAACTGGTGAGAAGACAGGCCCAGAAATGCTCAGTGCCTCAGGCCACACAGAGCTGAGGATAGAACATGGATTTCCCAACTCCCAGGCCCTTGGCTGTCAGCCTGCTTTGCACTCTTCTCCATCCACCCCTAGAATCCCAAGGGGATGAGAATCTAGGCTTGAAAATCTACAAAGCCCAGTCAGAAAACCCTGGTCAATGTTGGAAGTGGGACTGAGCCCTGGGAAGGACAGTGGTGCGAGTACTATTGTCTGCACCAATGAGAAAACTGAGATCAGAAGAGGAATGTTTGCCCAAGGTCATTTCCTCCAGCTAGTAAACAGGACTGGAACCGAATTCTGACTACAATTCAGAGCTCTTTCTCCTTCATCCGGACTTGTAGCAAGAGTTAGAGCTGTTTAGCTGACAGAACAGGGCATACTACCTGTTCTAATGTATCAGATGGGCATCCTGCTGACTTACTCCGTATTCCATATCCCAGCACTTAGCACCTGTGTAGCTTAGCACATAGTAGGTGCTTAATAAATGTTTATTGACTGACTGATTATTCTGTTTGCCCTTAGGGGGCAGAACTAGAGGGAATGGGTGAGAATTCTGGGGAAGGAGATCTCAGTTCACTATAAGGAAGAATTTGCTAATAATCCAAGCTGTTCCAGGCTATTGATTGGGGAATAATTAAACAACCTGTGGTTTATGAATGCTACTGGATATCGTTAAATGGTAAGGAATGATGGCTATGAGGAATTCAGAGAAGCACGAGAAGACTTGTATGAACTGATGCAAAGGGAAACAAGCAGAAGCAGGAGAACAACAGACACAAGGATGATCAAAATGGAAACCCAAATCCTGAGTAATCATGATGACCAATCTTGGCCCCAGAGAAGAACAGCAGGACCATGGGGACTTAAGTCACTGTGTTGTCCATCTTGCTTAACTTTTTCTTTGTTACAGGGGAGGGTTCATAGATGGAAATGGGAAAGGGAACATATTCGTGATGGAAAAGGAAAAAGACATCATGAAAAGTCAACTCCTAAAGCAGAACGGGCAGCCTTGATGGCCTGATGAAGAGGAAGGACAGGGGCTGTGTGAGCCTTCTCCAACCCTTGTCAAAGTTGTTGGAAGGGGAAATTCCTGAGGCAGCGGACAGATCCCTGGGTCTGGAGTCAGGAAGACCTGAATTTGAAACCAGCCTCAGACATTTTACTAGTGGTGCAACCATAGGCAAGTCACTTAACTTAGTTGCCTCAGTTTGCCTCAGTTTCCCCAAATGTAAAATGTGGATAACAATAGCATCTACCTCCCAGGGTTGTTGTATCAAAAGAGATAACATTTGTTTAAAAAAAAAAAAGCACTTAGCACAGTGCCTAGCACAGAGTAGACACTTAATGATTCCTTCCTCCTTGCTTCAGCACCTGGACTAAGTCATTGGGACCACAGCCTCATAGATACATAGTTAGATGGCACCTCAGTGGTCATCCAAAGTCTTAATTTTACAGATGAAGACAATGAGTCTCTGCAGAGGTTCAGTGACTTGCCTGTGGTCCCATGGGTAGGAACTGACAGAGGTAGGCTTCATGCCAGTAGGGGTCCTTTTCCAGCTCCAGGATTCTGTGCTTTTATGACTGCCCCTTTGGAATACCCATGTGGATGAGCTCCCCTGCCCAGTGGAGCACTGGCAGAAGCTGCTTTGTCCTGGCTTCTGAGTCTCTGCTCCCTCTCAGTTGAGGTCCTGGCCCCCACCCATCCCAGCTCCTGGCCCCCTCATAGCCCAAGCTCACCCAGATCTGCAGCTTTATCCTCTTCTCATTGCGATAGATGGTCTTCACCTTGAAATCTATGCCCACAGTACTGACAAAGGCTGGGGTGAATGAGTCGTCAGCATACCGGAATAGGAAGGATGTCTTCCCCACACTGCTGTTCCCAATGATGAGAATCTTGAACATGTAATCAAAGTTCTGGTCGGAGGATTCCTTTTGCCCATAGCGGGAGTCTGTGGCTGATGCCATCTGCAGGCAGGAGAGGCAGAGGCCCCAGGGGGTGGGGTTGGAGGGTTTGGGTGAACTATGGAGAGAAACAGATCTCTGGGGAGAGAGAGGGGGTAGCCCATAGGATGGGGATATGCTCAGATGTGGAAAGGCTTTCCTGACAACTCCTTGGAGAAGCTAGTGAAAATATACCAGTTTTACATGTGGGGAAACTGAGGCTCAGAGAGGGAGACTCACCATAGGCAGTAGAATTAGTTAAGGGGTGTTCCCAGAGTAAGGACAGGATAGTGAATGGAATGCTGGATTCGGAGTCAGCCAGGTCTGTGCTGCATCCTACCTTTGACACAGCAGCTGTGTGACCATGGGCAAGTTAATAACCTCTCCGAGCCTCAATTTCTTTATCTGTAAAATGGGGATAGTAAAAGCATCCACCTCATAGGGTTGTTATGGGGATTAAATGAGATAATGCAGCTTCACAAGCCCTAAAGTGCTAGATGAGTGTCAGCTGCCGCTGCTGCTGCTGCCACTGCCTCACAGCTATAGCCAGAATCAAAGGAGAAACTGGATAGAAAGGATTACAATACATGCCGGCTATCATCATTATTGTAACTGTCAGATTGAAGGCTCCGGCCATCCTTTCTTGATTCTGAGAACAATGCACTTTCCCCTAAAAGACACGGCTTCATTTCCTTATAGCTAAAGTATGAGATGAATACTAGCGATTGTTATCCAGGTGTCAAGAAAGGGGTGGTCTGAGATTCTACTCAGAGACTTGGGAAAGAGAGATGGGGTTGGGGGAGGAAGATGCAGAGGTTCTGAAATCCAGTAGGTCACCCTTGTTTTCCCCAGTGCCCCAGGCTTCCTCTGAGGAGGGGTTTCTGGGTAGGGGCCCCAGACTAAGAGGGCTTTAGCTGCTCCTTGATTTATTTCCCCTGCACCATATCTTAAGAATGGACCCTGAATACAGGATGGATGAATTCTTTGCCTGGTGTAGGAACGTTAAGGCGACTCTAGGATATGGCAGGGCAGCGCTGAGGTCAGGACAATTCTAGAGCCTTCAATAGGGCAGGTCTAGAACCCTAGGCAGGGCAAGCCTACACTTGGTGCAAATTTTATCAGCCCTGAAGAGTAACTCTATCCTTTCCAGTCCCTTCCAGCCAGCACAGGGATGTGTCAGGGAAAGGTAGGGAGAAAGGGAGAGGGGAGCATGCTTTCTGCGCAGCCTCAGCCCCGCCTCTCCTTCCATCATTCAAGCTTTGGCCTCCCCAGGCCCTGCAGGGTTTTATTAAAGGAAAAGGCCCAACTGAAGCAGTCCCCCAGCCAGGGCCCAGACCCCTGTCCAGCCCAGGAGGGCTGGAATCTCTCCAGTAAGCGGCACTATTGGCCCCTTGGACCTGTCGAGGAAAGGCGCATGCATACACATACACACACACACACACACACACACACACACACACACACACACACACACCCCTCCATACACAGCACATTTAGGGGCACCCAGCACACAAATGTTCTATCAAGGCTAGGCTGAGATCGGGGAGCCAGGCTACAGTCAGGTACCATCAGATGACTCTGCGGGGTGAGGACACATAGAGACTTCGATACACACGCACAGATACACCCGTACACAGACACTTGCACACCCGGACCCACAGTCAGGGGGATGCACTCATCCTCACCGCATATAAATGATATATACAGAGGCAGACACACATGCAAACACAAGCACACTAACCAACATATATACACACAAGAAACACGCATACCTCGAGACACAAGCACGCAGCCGCACACCAGCGGACACTCCTCCAAATCCTAATCCCCCGCCCCACTCCATGCCCAATCACACCAGGAGGGGGCTGGGAGGCACGAGGGGGGAGGGGAGCAGATGGAGTCCCCCCCACTCCCCCGCCCCCAAGAAAGGATGCGGATCCCCTGGCGCCGGATGGTCCCCATGACACCTCCCTACTTATGTCAAATGAAGGTTACTGGGCTTAAGGCGGGGGCCAGGGGCCCTGGGAGGGTGGGATGCTGGGACCAGCCCAGGGTAGGGGGGACGCATGGACCTCCGGGTGGGGAGAATTCATGGGATGAAGGGGGATGCACGGACCTAGCAGTGGGGATTCATAGCCCAGATTGGGGGGATAGGGGGTAGCCCTGAAGGGATTCAGGGCTCCGGCCGCAGGGGCGTGCCCCCTGCACTCACCTCGCTCTAGCGCGCAGTCTGCAGCAGCCTGGCTCCCTTGCACCAATGCGGCGGCGGTGGCTTCAGCGGCTGTGGCGGCTCCAGCAGCTCCCGCGGCTCGGGTACCTCGGGCCCCTGCAGAACCCAGTGACGTCCTGCAAAGAGCGGGGCGGGGCCTCCCATGCAGATGATTGCTGACGCACGGGCGCGGAGGGGGCGGGGACTTGCGTGCAGACCCTTCTCTAAAGGAACTCCTCCTTACCACTGGATAAACTGGCTTTGGGGAGGGGGCGTGGCTTCTTGCCATTCCCCACCCCCGTCCTTCTGCCCAATGGGAGAGCGCTTCCTGTCACAGACCGCCAATTAGTGTTTGCCCCCCTCTCCTTGGACTCCGCCCTGCCCCGCCCTGCTGGTGGGTGGGGGTGGGGAGAGAATAAAAAAATGGGAATGACTAGGGACCAAGATTTTGGGGATGCTGGATTGCAGACGTGGGGGAGGTGTGTGGAGGGTGTGTGGATGGGACTGCCCCCTCCCCGGGTTCTGGACCCTACCTGAGGCCTTTATCCCCTGGGAGAAGATGCTGCTTCCTCCAGAGATGCTTTTCCCCTATGTGTGCGGGCAAACCGACCTAAGCTCAGGGGAAGACAACGGGCCGTGAGTCAGGTTGGGAGCCTGGGCCGCCTGCCTCACCCACAAAAAGGACACCCCCCATTTCCACCCCTTCCCTTCCCCCTCCAAAAAAGCTGTCATGGGTTGGGGCGGGGGAGACAGATGGAGCCTCCCGCTGAGGGGGTGGGGGGCGGGCAGGGAGGTTGAGAGGGCCCTGCAGCCTCTCTGGGAGAAAAGGGGGAGCTAAGAATAGATTCCCTAGGGTGCTCTCTGTCACTGGGGGAGTGAAGGAGGATGGGAGAATGGTATTCTGTGAACAACTTTCCCTAGAAAACCAGGAGGGGACTAGAAAAAAAAAATGATTTACCCAGAAGTGGGTTCTGGATGGGGGTGTGGTGACCCTCAGAACGACTTTGAACAGTGAGGTTCGGTGAGGAACTCGCTGCAGGCCCATCCTTACTATCTAAAGGGCCCCCTAGCCAGTATTCGGTCACATCTGAAGCAATTAAAACCCCACTAATACAAGTGTATTTTGAATACTTACTGTGTGCAGAGCACTGCAACATTGTTGCTAAATTCTAAGTAAATTAATGTCACATAGGTTCTCAGAGTTGCAAAAGCAGGGGACTGTCAACCTGAATTTAAATGAGGAAAAAATTACATCTTTGATTTACTAATCTCTGATTGAAATAGAGCACTTCCTTCAGTTTTTTTAAAAAAAAAAACATTCTGAGACAGGGGCCACAGCCTTCACCAGGCTGTCAAAGGGTTCCAGGACACAAAGAAAGTGAAGAAGCCCTGTCTTTGGCACATCAGAGGCCAAGGAAACAGAAGGTTAAGGGGGAAAGGGCCTTGAATTTGAAGTTACAGAGCCAGAGTCAAGTCAAGAAGCATTCATTAAGCGCCTGCTGTGTGCCAGGCCCTACGCCAATCGATAAGGATAGAAAAGAGAGCAAAAGCACAGTTCTTACTTTCAAGGAGCTTACAGTTTAATGGGAGGAACACCATGCAAAGAGCTATGGACAAACAAGATAAAGGATAAATTGGACAGAGAAAGGGCACTAAGATTAAGGAGGATGTCCTGTGCTGGGAAAGGCAAGGATGCTAATTTAATTGGATCATAGAGGATGCGGGATCAGGGGAAGTAAGATATAAGGTGCCTGGATTGGAAGAGGGGACCAGGTTATGAAGGGTTTTAAAAGCCAGACAGAGGATTTGATCCTGAAGGTAGTAGGGGAGCCATGAGGGAGTTGAGGGAGGTGACATGGTCAGACCTGAACTTTAAGATCATTTGGACATCTTGGGGCAGGACAGACTGCAGTGGGTAGAGACCTGGGGCAGCCAGACCAGCCAGTAGGCTGGCGCAGTGGTCCAGGGGTGAGGTGACAAATGGCCTGCACCTGAGTGACAGCAATGTCAAAGGAGAGAAGGGGGCATGCATGAGATATGAATTAACAGCTTTTGGTCACTGATTGCTGGGGGCGGGGGGAAGGCAGGGTAGAGAGTGAGGATGACCTATTTAGGTTGTGATCCTGGGTGTCTCGGAGGATGGCAGTACCTTTGGCAGAAGACAGAAGTTAGGAAGAGGGGTGGTTTCAGGGCTGAGGGGATTGGATTGCAGCAGCAAATGGTGGTGGGAATTGAGTAAACCATCCCAACTCTGTAAATTGTGACTCAATTCTGGAGATTTTGGGGGAAGTGGATGTTTTATGCCAATTGTTCTTGTCGTATATTTTCTTAGCAAATACCCTTTTCTAAAGGCTAATTACATCTGACTAATTGATTCAGCCTATAACAGGAGGAGAAGCATGCCAGTTGGGGTTTATGGGCTATAGCATGAGAAAGACATCCCCAACCCCTCAGCAGGACTCCTAGCCTCCTGAGTGAAGACGTAGTTGATTTCCAGGACCCAACATGCCAGTGCCAGTGGGTACTACAAACAGCTAAGTGGATAGAGTGCTGGCCTGGAATCAGGATGACCTGAGTTCAAATCTTGCCTCAGACAGTTAATGGCTATGTGACCATGGACAAGTCACTTATCCTCTGCCTGCCTCAGTTTCCTCATCTGTAAAATGAGGATAATAGAGCCTCTCTCACAGGTTTGTTGTGAAGATCAGATCAAATACGATAACATGTTAAACACTTTGCACACCTTAAAGTGCTATATAAATTCCATGTCGGTGATGATGGTGAGTTGGGATAGTAGCCCCAAACTGTGTGTGTCATAGAACATGGGATGTCAAAGCTGGAAGGAACTTTAGAACACAGAATCTTAGCACCAGAATGGATGGCCAGGGTGGTAGTTGTATGTGTGAGTGAGTGTGTCTGAGTGTGTGTGTGTGTGTGTGTGTGTGGGAGCCTGACTTGTATCTTTTTAGGCTCCTTTGCGCTGTTAGGACCAGCTAGGTGGTGCAGTGGATTGAGTGCCAGGCCTGGAGTCAGGAAGATTCATATTCCTGGGTTCAAATCTGGCCTCAGACACTTATTAGCTGTGTGACCCTGGGCAAGTCACTTAACCCTGTTTGCCTCAGTTTCCTCATCTGTAAAGTGAGCTGGAAAAGGAAAAGGCAAACCACTCCAGGATCTCTGCCAAGAAAACCCCAAATGGAGTCATGGAGAGTCAGACATGACTGAAAAACAACCCAGCAGCAACGTTGCTCGGCAGAGGAAAAGCCTCAGAGAGCCCAGTTCAGATTGCTATGAAGTCAAGGTTTAATATGCTCCTGGGCCCAGAGCCCTGCCACAGCCCAGGCCTCCCTTCCTTCCAGTGACTGAGTCTACCTATCCCTCCACCTCCTCTGAGACCAGCCCTATGAAGCACATTACTACAACTGATGGGGGAGAAGGATGGACCAGTCTGGGCAGGGCAAATCCTCCTTACATATACCTCAGACTCCAGCCCAGTCCCACCTTCCTACATCCCTGCAGTTCTGGCCTCTGCAGCTCTGAGGAATCCCAACTGGAGCAGTACCAGGACCCAAAGGCCAGTGCTCAGATGGGGAGAAGAGAACACAAAAGAGGAAGTAACCCTGGATGGGTTTTGGGGGAGATAGGATGGGGGAGGGAGAGGAGAGTAGGAATAAAAGAAAACCAGGCACTTGAAAAACAGGAGCCTTTGGGCTTAGACATCGTGCATGGGATCAAGGCCAGGCAGGGACTTGGAAAGAAGAAGAAAGAACATCGGAGCTCAGAGGGACCTTACCAGCCGAAATATCAGAGCTGGGAGGGACCTTCAAGTGTGGGTTACTAGAAATGGAGAGCTCCTAGGAAAAAGAAGGTCAGCATTATCAGGGTCCTAGACTATATAGGACATGAAATTCCAGATCGGGAAGAGACTTCAGAGCCCGCTGAACTCATTTATGTCACAGATGATAAGAATGAAGGCCTGAGGGTAGTGACTTGGTTAGGGCCACAGAGTTAGTGGCGCAGTCAGAACCCAAACCCAGATCTCCTGCCTCCCAGTCCAAGCTGCCTCACTACCCCTCCCCCCTTTTTTAACCCACAGAGGATCCTTCCCCTCCTTCCTCCCTTCCCTTCCCTCCCTGGGCTATTTTCTTTAGGAAAACAGACAAGTCATGGAATTGCTTGAGATATGATAGGCCACACAGGAAGGAATGCTTAATGGAAAAAAGGCAAAGTAAGTGCCCATGTTTGCCAACAATTCAGTTCAATTAAAGGAATGTTTATTAAGCATCTGGTGCATGCAGAGTTTTGTTCTAGGAGCAAAAGGGGTTCTGCTAGAGTAGCCAGAGAAGTCCGTTATACATACAGCTGGGAGGAAAGAAGAGTTGGTCTGGACTGAAGACTCCTACTTCCCAGATCTTGTCTTGCCCACCCTCTCTCCCAGGCCATCCTCCAGGCCTGACACTCATCTCTGGGGGTGATATCACTTTCTTTCTCCAAGGACCATCTCAGAGGTCACCTCTTCCAGGAAGTCTTCCCTGATCCTTCCTCTTCTTTGAGGAAACTGATTGACACCTCCTTAAATTTTCCTCAAGCTTCCTAAATCTTTGCTTTGTCTCCTTCACTTTTGACCTTGAATGAATGAAAAATCATTAACAAAGTAACCCTCACTAATGGACCAGGCCTTAAGCTAGGTTCTAGGGATACACATAGCATCCTTGCCCTCAGGGAGCTTACATTCTAATAGGGGAAGACAGAACACTGAGGGGAATGGCGGCCAGGGAGAAGTCTATTGGACTGGGAAGGCACAGTGATGGTGAATGGAGTCCTAGGGCAATTATCCTATGGGGAATTGTAGGGTTGGCATGATCACATCGACTCATTTGTGTATATGTCCCATCTCCCTTCAGACTCTGTAATCTCTTTACTTCTTTCACTTACTAAATGAAAAGGTAAAAAGAGAGCTACATGTGGGGCCTGGAGACCTGGCTTTGAATTCTGATTCTAACACTGACTAGCTAGGAGACCCTGGGTAAATCATCCCAGATCTCTGAGTCTCAGTTCCCTCATCTGTAAAATGAATATAACAACCTCTACGCTGCTCTACCTCACTGAATAAGGTTGCAAGAAAAGTGCTTTGTAAACATGTAAAGTGCCCCAGAAGTGGGAGCTG